TTGGTCGTTGGCAGAGGCAGCTGGGCCACTAGAGCCCAGGACTGGGCAGTTACTCAGGGCTTTTGACTGGTTGAAATGGCAGTGCTGGACCAGCAGGTGGCGTGGAGGTTAAGGTGCCGGATCCCATATGGCTGATGGTGCAGTTTGTGTCCCAAACCTGGTGTCTTGAAAATCACAGTGGACGTGCGTATGTGCATGCCCAACGTCCTGAGGCAGGAGATGAGAGGAGACTGAAGGAGAAAGGAGTACAGGGTCACCATTCCCTCAACCCCTTCTTTCTGTCTCTGCCAAGTGCACATGTGCTATAGCAAAAAAAAAAAATAAATAAATAAAGAAGAAAAGAGAAAAGGCGGTCAGTGCTCAGCTCTGGAGTGCCCAGTCTGCGGCGAGGAGCCCGGAGCACACCATTCAGGTCCTGAGCCTCTTGCTGAAGGTCCCCAAGGAGGCGCCCTGCCCTTGCCCCAAGGAGAGGTGTGGCCAGGGTGTCAACAGTGACCTGTGTCACAGGCCTCCCTACCTTCGCTGGGACCTTGGACTTCCGCTGCTGCCTGAGGCTCAGCTGAGGCAGGAGGCACCTCGGTGGAGAGACACTGCAGGGAGAGCTGACTGGGAGGGTTGGGGTGTGAGTCTCTCTGGTTCTGGGGGCCCTATTGTCTGCATCTCAGGTGACTGGGTTCTCTCAGCTTCCCCTCCTGCCTATCCCCTGCGAGGCAGCTTGCAGGGGACACCTCTCCACGAGTACCAGTGGGACTCGGGGCCCCGGAAGATCCTGTTCACCTAGTCCTCAGTCTGCACGTCGTGCCGGGCGGCGGGTTAGCAAGCACGTGGGAAGGGTTGGTAGTGACTGCGGCTTCTCCCCATCAGGCCTCAGATGAGGACGCCCTGAGAAGACCTTCCCCCAAGAAGGGGGTGACCTTTGACCTTAGCGACGTGGCTGACACAAACAGTGAAAGTTCTGAGTCTTGTCCCCTGCCTCACTGTGAGTGGCCGCAGCAGCGGGGAGGTTGGGGAAGGAGGCAGAGGTGGAGCGAGGACACTGTGTCCTTGGAGACGGTGCGGCTCAGCCCATTCCCTCAGCCCGTGGGGATTTCCGTGGGCCCATTTCTGTACTGGGTACTCGGGAAGGAGGGAGGCCTTTGGGTTTGCAGTTCATGGGCAGGGTGGACAGAACCCGGGAGAGCAGCTGGCCAGGGAGCTGTCCATGGTAGTCTCTGTGAGGCTACCTATGCCTCTCTGGCCTGGAGCTGGGCAGAAGGCCCTCTGTCCCAGCCCTGCAGAACCTTCCTCATGCCTCATGCAGTTTCTCGTCTGCACTGGCTGGAACCCGGAGGCCCTGCTGTCCCCTGCCCCCTGCCCCTCTCACAAGGTCAAGGGACCATTGCTTGGAAGACAGGGAAGGGTGCCCAGCAGAGTGCCAGCTGGTCTGGGGACATCTCAGGGCCCTGGACCTAAGCCCTCCCCTCCGCCTGCCTTTTATTTTAGTCAGCCAGACCCGGAGTCCCAACTTCCCCAGCAAGATCCACTACTTGAGCAGCTCCCTGCAGAGCATCAGCAGCCAGCTGAACGGCGTGCTCC